CCCTGGGCAGTTCACCCAAAAAAAAAAAAAAAAAAAAAAACAGGTGCCTTTCTCATCAATGCGGGCATTTTTTCCCAATGCGCTGTTCACAGCTGGGCTGGAATGGGAGAATGCCACTATCCTTAATTTCTTGTCTTTACCCAGAAGCTTATGATGGGACCAGTTGTACTTTTTCTCAGTCAAAATAATGACCGTGTTGATTGCTCTCCCAGAACTTTCTAGAAGTTGACTCCAAGTTGTTTATTCTGAAGTGTACAGGTGGAAATGTGATGAGTTGTTTAGGGTGGAAATATGACTGCTTTCCCGTTCTTTCAAAACAGGGAGTGCCCTTGGCCTAGGGAGGACAGAGAGGGAACTGTTCCCAGAGTTCTGGGCTTCCCGTTGACAGTCCCCACATTGCTGCTCTTCATGCCTGTCAGGTTGAAGAGGTCACTTGCACAATTGAGCTTCCTCAGGTAGATCTTTGCTGCATAGGCTTCTTTTCTTTTTTTTGGAGAGGTTTTTGCTAAAGGGCGCATGTGCTCACCAGAAAGACAGAGAGAGACAGACAGACAGAAAGCAAGAAATGACCACCCAGGGAAGATGGCCACGCCGCAATCCCCTTCTCCTCCATTCTCCTCTCAGGATCTTGAGCACGCATGCACACACGCCCGCCGTGAGTGTAAGCCTCCAGGCCTGGGACTCGAACCATGGTCAACTACATGGGAGTCCAGCAACGTAGGCATTATGCCATCTGTTGGTCCCGATGCTGCACAGGTTTCTATGGACCACTTTTTTGATCTGCCAGAAACGAAGATCTATGCAATTAAAATCTGCTTCCCCTTTTGCCTCGGCTCCTAGCGCCCTAGTGTTAATCCTCTGTGTTCTTTAGATGGACTTTCTGTTTCAATCCTGGTTCTCTAATTTTGCATCGTATGTTAAATTTTTTAAGCATTGATGTCCTCTCAGAGACAATGAGTGGGTAAGTCTTAAACAAGGTGAGCTTCTATGTCAGATGCAAGTTTTGTGGTGGGAACTGAGTCCTTTATTTCTTTGCTGGAGTAGCATCCTAATATAAAATGGAGACCGCAGCCCCAGAGGAGCTGGTGAGG